AAGGAAAAGGACAGTTTGCGAAGGAAAATATCATTTAGGAAGGTGTTGAGGTGCGGAAATTTACGGATTCACCTGTATTTTCATTATTTCTGTGCTCGAAGTTCGAAACGCACGTGGGAGCGTCGAGCGACGCCATTGTCCATACCAGAATATTGAGAGTCAATTCCTGCCTATAAAAGAGGGAAATATTGAAGGAAGAGGACGTCTCACGAAAGAAAATGCCGTTTAAGAAGGAGTTGAAGTGCGGAAATTCACGGATTCATCTGTACGCTCGTTATTTCTACGTTCAAAGTTCGAGGCGTCCGACAAGGACGAAGTGAACGCCATTTTCCCGTTGTCGGATAGCGTCAGCACGAATTCTGTGCGAAAACGGGGAAAATATTGGACAGTATCAGTGTATGATGACAAAAGGGCCCTTGGGAAAAGATTGTGTTCGGTCAAAACCTCGGATTCTATCATTATCACGTTTATTTTGTTGATTAAAATTCGAAGCGGAAGAGAAGTGAGGTGCGCATGCGCGGGATTTTACCACGGTGCCTATCTAGTAACATTTCTCTCTCGATGAACGATACTTAGGGAAATACTCTCGGAAACAATTTTTGCTATAATGTTACCAATCTGATGACACGAATCGTACAGTGAGCTGCGTAGGAAAGTGAGAATAATTTTTAAATTGCTCGTAAAATTCTCAATAAATTCGAGAACGCGAGAAACGATTCAACGCGGTTTGCGTCGTGAAGTATAGGCGGCGCGGGAAGCCGTAGTAGCTGACGCGCAGTTTCGCGATCGCGTGACAGCTATAGAATCAAAAAATAAGATCGCTGTGAATTTCTGCGAATTTTCGTGATATCGGAACGTCTCAGACGAACAAATTCGGGCGTTAAAAGGTTTGTAATAACCGTCAGATTACCGACAAAGGGTCTGGTTGGAAAATCGCTATATCCAAGTGCGAAGATAAAGGTTAAAAATCCGAACCAACGCGAGGAACATAACCTCAAATATTTACTTACTTATTCTGACAGCTCGATCGAGCTGAACAAACGAAAGGGTTACACTTATACTTACGCTTGACTATTTACAGGGAGAATTTACCAGACGAATTATGAAAACGTATTCATGTGTAATTGATTTGTTGAGATTCTTCTTGTTATAGATCAAACCTGAAAGAAGGGCGGTTCTGCGAGAAACAATATCAGACGACAGTCATTGTTGAAACCCCGAAACAAAGGGACTAACGGACGGAACGGACTGAGGAGATTCAAGGTGACAAAAACCTGAACGGACGAAACGAACGAGAGAAATCATCGAACGGGACGCTGCCTTATCGCTCTTCGTTAAATATCTTACTGACCACGAAGTGCTAAACGTTGTATGCCATATTTTATGTTCTTGTGCGAATCAATCAGGATGACTGGAGTCTGGAACTGAACAAGGAGTCTGCTAAGTAAGGATTTAACAAGGTTGATTACTAACTGTGCTATGTTTCAGAGTCAAAATGGAATGAGGGTCTGTATGGTCTGAATCAGAAGAGGTTACATTGATACAACTTTTATTAATGTCTATACTGATCGACGTTACCTATGGTAACTGGTGCCTGAATATAACGAATGAGTTGAATGATTGAGTCGAATACACACTGAAAAAGAAAGAGAGTTTTACGCGAGCCTTGTATGGAAGAGTGAGAGCTGAAACTGTGCTTACAGAGTGAACAATGATATGAATGACGCGTTGTATGAAATCTTTGTTCTAAAGTATCGAAACAGGTGCGAAAAAGGAGCGAACCGAATAGAGTCTTACTAACGGGAATAATTAAAAGGGAATAGGGATTTTGAAAAAGTTCACAAAGCTTCACGACTAACAACTATGCGATTTTTACATCAAAACGGTACGGGCGAATGCATGAACTGAGAATGTGAGACGCGCGACGAAATATGCGATAAATCACTCCGAGTATAGATTACGTGTTCTATCCAATTATCTGAATAGTCGAAGTGACAAGAAGAGAGTATCTATGAAATAAATAAAAATTGTCAACTGTCTGAATGAAAGTTTAAACGTATGCACAAGGTCGTGAAGAACAATCGGAAGGTGTGACTAAAAGAAGAGTAATTAATGCCTGTAGAGTATCTGAAGGAAATAGACAATTGCGAACTGCATGTTACTGTACATTTAGAACAATGTCCATATTTATATTCGAAGGATGCTATGAGTCAAGAGTGAGACTGACTTGATCAAGAAGGGCAAAAAAGGATCGAATAACTGAGCGTGAATCTACTCTCCATTCAACAGATTCGAATCATTGACAAAGTAAAAGACTAAAAGGAAAGGTACGAGTATGAATATGTAGTATAAATCCATCAATGCATAACAAGTGAAGAGTGAACTGAATGCGAGATAGACGAACGCGAAGGTTCGTTGAATGTACTTTCTTTCGTTGAATGTAAGAGATAACCCTGTATAAATCTCTCGATAGTACACGATTGCTGTGAACATCGAATCGTACGATCTAGACTTTTTATGGAAGTGTCCTAAAAAACTATGATCGTTTGTATGCTTTAACGAAAGTAATTCGAATCTACGAGGGTATCACTCGTTGATCGATACAACGGGTTTGTCGCTCGTCAAGAAGGACACCTCGAGCAGTACGCTCGTTGTAAGTAAACGAAAAAAAGAGCCATTGGCCAAGAAGTGCTTTAAGCCATTGTGTCGCGACAAAAAGGAAGCGACCGGGGGTACCTCCCGAAACCCAGGTACTACGAGAATATCACTCGTATATCAAAGATACATTATCCGGCTTATTACGAACTTAAGCAATTGCCAAAAATTTTCTTTAAAACGGTGTGAACGATCTACAACGGATTGACACCCTTTTAAAAAGACACGACTTAAAAAGGACGATCGATAAAGGAGGGACAAATTGAAGACAACCGAACGAGACTCAAGACCGGTAAAGAGCATATTCTATAGAGGGGTAAACGGGACGAGACCAGACAGAGAACACTAGGACCGAGACAGACTGACGGAAAAGGGAAAGATTATAAAGAAGAGGGGACGAGGAGAATTGAAATTGAATAAATATAAGCGATTCAAATACACACGTAACACTGAGAGGAGGGGATCCTTGCAAAAATCGCACCACTCCTTCATAAATCGTTGTTATACTATCCTGAAGTTATATTAAGCTATACTAAGTTTGTATACGTTATGAAACCCTGCTAATTAACCATAAATAAATAATAAAACATACTGTCTATCAAAATATCGTCTTAGAACCTGCATTGGCATCCGAGGGCCAAATTAACCAAACGAAATACGACGAAGTAGCAATTAATAAAGGATATTTAAGGTAAATTCTCCAAGACGAACACGCTTCAAGCACGACTAAATCGCGCCATACGATAAAGGGGGAAAACATAGCTATACATACCGCCGATGTACGAAAATTGATTAAAATAAATTGAAAAAAGAAAGGGAGAATTAAAAATCTAAATCCTTGGATAGACCGAACGCTTTCTCTTGTTGATAACATCCTACCAAGCCGCACACGAATCGCTGAAAGGTTTAACTTTCGTCGATAAATGTGCATGGTCGGTGGGCATGGGGAAACGTGACCTTAACGAGAATTGAGACTAAAGGAAATCCACAAGAGATCGATGAGGGTTCAAACGGTTACTATAGGAAGGTAAATCCCCTGAGGATTCCGACTTACCGTCAAGACTCCTGTTGACGGTAAAACCAGAAAAGGAGAGTGAATAGTGACAGAGGATAAATAGATAATCGTTAAAAACTACGACAGAGACGGAAGGATTCTAACTTTACGAAGACCAAGCGATAACTGCATCGCTTCCAACCGCACGAATCTGAACATAAAAAATAATAACTCGAAACATACATACAGCTAAAACTAGAGTTCATGACAATTGAAAAGAATAAGAGCCGAGAGTTTTTGACATGACTGCCGGAAGCGAGACTGATCAGACTGACTAAGCCTTCGAACCGGGTAGTAGAGAAGGAGGCCGCTCTACCACTGACCGGAACTCAATCTACATAGACACAAGAATTGTATTATTTCAAATTATCAAAACCATTCTATGGGAAATTGAAATACAAAAGGTTCAGTAATGCCGGAAGGAAAATAACAAAAAATAAAAAACTACTGTCAGGATCTCACCAAAAGAAATTTATTTATTTATTTATTTATTTAGAAACGTAGAGATACACGTCTCTGCCATAGAGACCCGAACAGAGCGAGCTATTGCATGAAATACAATTAAGATCATCTGCCCCGCAAACAACACAAATAAAGAGAATACACTGTAGACGCTTTAACGTAAAGACGTACACGAAACTGTCTCCTTTCCTGGAAAACACCCGAGGCTCTCCTCAGACTCGCCGAGGTAATCGCAGCGTTGATTGATCAGGATGGACGGCCTAAAATTTGTTCAAATTAATTTACACAGATCCAGAGCGGCCACCGGCGCTGTGTCGAACCTGATAATAAAACATAAAATGGACATAGCACTGATTCAGGAACCATGGACGGTCAATGATAAGATCAAAGGATTCGGAATGATAGGGAACGTATTAAATCGATGCCCGAGGGACAGACCGAGAACGTGCATAGTACATACTAATAGAGTCAAGCCGGTGCTGCTGTCACAGTTCAGCGATAGAGACATGACAGCGATGCTCTTGGAAAGGAATAATGAGAGTTCACGATTGTCGAGAGTGGTAGTGGTATCGGCATACATGCCGTACAACGAGAGGAACCCGATCTCGAACAGAATGGAACTGCTGGTGGAATGGTGTGTGAGACAGGGAGCGAACTTGATCATAGGAGCAGACGCGAACTCGTGCCATGAAATATGGGGAAGTTCAATCACGAACGACAGAGGACTGAAGTTACTAGACTTCTTAAATGGCAACGGTCTGACCTGGTTAAACGAGGGACGAGACCGACGTTCAGTATGTCCACCAGGGAAGAGGTATTAGACGTAACGATGATATCGTCGGAGATCCGTCCGGCGATGAGGGAATGGAGAGTTCTCGACGATCCGTCGCTGTCGGACCACAGATACATCTCGTATTATAGATTGACGAATGGTAAGTCTGAATACCTGGGCAGATTCGCCACGGTCTATCAAGCCGAGGTCGTAGCAGTCATGAGATGCGTAGAAGATTTAATTGAAAAAAATGCGAAACACGATCATATAGTTATTTTCACAGATAGCCAGGCGACAGTCAGAACGATGGAGAAGTCAAGCTACAAGTCTGCGGTGGCACTGGAGTGTTTCGATCGGCTAAACGAATTGGCATCAGTCAACAGGAGGGTGGTTTTATGCTGGTGCCCTGGTCACAGAGGAATACCGGGCAATGAGGAAGCAGACAGACTGGCAAAACTGATAGTAGAAGAAAAGAGACCGGGAATGGAACCCTGGCTGCCGGTCCCCTATGCGGACTTCAAGCTTCAATTGAAAAGATTATCGCTTTCCAGATTAAAAGAGAGATGGTCGAGTACAACGACATGCAGGCAAGGAAGAGAAATGATAGGCGAAATAAACGTGGGAAGAGTTAAGGAGATTCTGAGAATGAACCGTGGAGACTCGAGAATCCTGACTTACATATTAACGGGACATGCACCGCTCAATTATCATCTATACAAGATGGGGGTAAGAGAAAACGGAAACTGTACCTGTGAAACGAACGAACCGCAGACTGTAAGACATTTACTGGTCGACTGTGACAGATTCGTGAGAAAAAGGAGAGAGGTGTTCGGTCTCCTAGACTTTAAAGATCAACGAGTTGACCAGTTACCTTATGACAAATTGATAAGGTTTTTCAAGGAGATCGATCAATGGGACAAAACGATCGGCTCGCCGACATAAGATGGGACGTACTCGTCAATAACAACGATCTAGAGAACAGAAACACTTCCTACATAGAACGTGGCTAAAAAGATTCCCCACGCGACAAACAAAATGGAAAAAGAAAGAAGCGAATACATGACCGACACGAAAGATAAAAAGAGAGGGAGCGGTCCGTTGACCGATAAATAGAAAAAGAAAAACGGATTGTCGACCGATACCAACAGCAAACAGGAACACGACAACGTAAACGTGACGACGAAATACCGCACGAAGAAAAAGGAGAGAGTTGAACGAGATTCAAGGAGCACAGAGGAATAATTGAAACGACACGGTGACATCACACAAGTGGTAACGAATATCAGAATTAAGCGATGATTATCTACGAATCCAACGTACATCTCAGCCGGTCAAATTGATCGCTCAATCGTGGAAACTACCAGGTATCGCCTTAGGTTTTAACTAACACACTTATTAGATTGACAGATTCTTGGCCTGAAAAACAGAGCAATCATAAACCCGCTGTGATCAATGCTCGAAGGATACGGCAGAGATAACCGGCAGACAGACTTACTACTCCTCAACCGAGAAAAAGCTCTTGAGACACAACTGAAAACCCGACGAGGCACAGACCTGAACATCAGTGGACAACGTCCCGACTACGAACTGAAAAAGAAAGAAAAATGAGAATTAACCGACCGACGAACAAGGTAAGAAAGAGTAGTCTATAAAAAATAATAATAATTTACAGGGTAGAACACGGTCTCGGAAAGTGACGAAAAAGTATCTTTCAAGAAACGAGATAATAACGAATCAAAACATCAAGACGGACAGGAGATGAACTTTCTAAAACAAACGCGAGACCCATATACCACAAGTAACGGTAGACGAACGAACAACGATACTCAATAAACTACAATTTAAAATAAAACTAGGAAAACAGAAGCTAACCCTCACGTGTACGATTCCGGTTTATCAACTGACCTTGCTTCCATAGATGAAGGTAACAAACGACCTGCCAACAAACACGAACCGGACAAACAGACATCCGAGACCTTCTCAGAAACTCTTCATCGATCCCTCGATTGTTTATCTGACGAACTTTGTGCACACCTCCTGTAGAACGAGTCGCTCGGCTCAACGTTTGACTGAATTAAAGATCTATCCTGTCCATAAACCAAAACCTGGAAAAATCTCAATCAATATGCGGACTGTCACGAACAAAAGCCCAAAGGGATAACTTACCCCCCCCCCTAATTAAAGCAGGAATCCGTAAAAAATTGAGACCAAATGGTTAACGAGTAACGACTTGACGTTTATAGGTTACGATACGAGAAGTATAGATATGGGCCCAACATGGCGCCGAAGGAGTGAAGCGAAAAAGAGCGCGGACCGAAACTTCGACGCGCGAAATTCGAACGACGAAAATAAGGGAAAACCCGCCTCGAACACGTACCTAGCGGGGAACTGTAGATAACAACAAACAAGAAAGGAAAATATGGCCAAACTACGATAGATTATGAATGAACAAACTTAAAAATACAAACGAAAATTTCGAACTCTTTTTTTAAAAATTCAGGATTAGCACACGTCGAACAAACTTTATAAACGCCGACCGAAATTCGCGTTGAAACTGGTATCAGCTGACCTCGTAGAGGAACGGAAAGACCTTGAATCAAATAAACGATAAAGAGATATGAATGTTCGACTAAATAAACGCTACCGAACAGAGAACGCTATTTTTCATAAGAAACTGATAACGTTCAAAAATATGATAAAGAACGACGTGAGCCGCAAACGGAGTTAATTCCAAGGCAGGAAAGACTCCACCAGGATAACCGCGGAATATCTTCAACGAACAAAAGATACCGTGACGTAAGAAAGAGATACGACGTACGTGACTGGTCACTGCCGGGAAGTACAAAGGGACGGAAGAATTACGGAAAGCCCGAAACGATGGGCTGTGCCGCGCTAAGAGAAGAAACTCAGAACAGAAAGAGAAAAGTACAGTCCGAGCAAACAATATCTAAAAAATCCCGCATCAAGTTTAACATAATATAGAATCATATTCTTAGATATTTGGATCAGACCAGAAAGGAGAACGGACGTTCTGCTCAAACCAGAGGGAAACGGGAAGACCCCGAAATTTGGTCAGGAATTACAAGGAGGGGGGAAGACGTGCGTCTTTAGAACGGCGCGGGTTGAGCACAGCACCGAGACAATTCTTGCCTCGACCAGAAAGTGGGGATGATGCGAACACGGAGACGACTGACACTAAACGGGAGTATGCTAGGCACGGTCAGCGAAGGCGCAAGAGGAGAATAGCAGTGGGGATAGAAGTACGGGCGGAAATAGGGGAAGCGAGCCACGAGGGAAGAAATTGGCCCGGCACTGGTTGAGCACCCCGGCTGGTACGCATTCAATGGGGGGGCGGAGTCTGATCACGAGATGAATGAAACGAGAGCAATATCGTTAGAGCAAGTGGACCCTTCGAACAAGGAACATGAGCAGCGAATCTACTACGTTGAAAAAGACAAAAAGAACGAAGAGAGAAACAGTGAACGAATTATGGAAGACCTTTGTGAAAAAGATGAGAAACAGTACATCGATAAAAATCGGATGGACGAGAAAAGGATCATCCCACGAAACGAAGGATGGGATCGAGGAGGTTAAATCCGAAAACTACGAATCAGGATACGATACCGCCAATACGGGATCATTGAGCACATTGTCGCTTGGGTCGATTTCCGTTGGATCGTCAACTTGGTCGATCTACTCGGACGAATCCTTGATAAACGAAGATGAAAAACAAGATTTCAGTGTTTAAATCTGCAATAGGTGAAGTGTCTCGTGAGAGTGATCTGGAAAGGAGAAGTGAAATATGGGGAGCTGGAACGCGAAAGAAACTCGTGATTTTCAATTGAATCGTTCGCGGAACACACCTGGACACGGAATGAATAATCAAACGAAGGAACATAACACCCAACACGAAACGGGACAGCAACAGAATCGAATGATGGCAAGTGAGTAAACGGGGTTAACTATATCGATAAAATCACAAGAATCGCTTTGTTACACGACTATCATAAAGAGACATAGAAACCGCAAGAATGTCGGCGGCCAAAGGGGGTTTTTAAAAAAAAAAAATTGTTGTTTACGATCGCTTAGGCGGATGACGTGTGTTAGAAATTCGCATTTTTAACTTGAGAATTAAAGTTCAGAAACGTATGAGTCATCATACGTTTCTTAGAATCGGGATATTCCTTCCCCGAAAATCGACGGTATTGTCGGTAGACGGGAATTCGTCACGTCGAGAACATAAGAAACATGTCAATAATCTCTTAAGCCTTAAGC